ACCAAATTCTAATTTCAATATATTTCTGCAACTTGGATGCTCTTAATAACTTGTTATGGGAAAGGAAGACCTAGTAATGAATCAAATTCAACTTAGCTTAAGAAATATTGCTCAATTCTTCAGACATAAACACAGCCTTAATTCAATGATGTTTTTCTTAATAACCTTTTATTTTGACCCATTTTCACCTAATGTTTATTTATAATTGTTAATGGCATATATATTTAGTGAGTCTCTTATTCCTTTACAAGATAGATGTGTATGCTTATATAATACCTTAGTAATTTTATATTGTTTTGTGTAATTTATAACCAGTTTTTTAATTGGTACATCAATTCTTAATTAAAGTAGAAACAGTAGTCAAAGGAAAACCTATATATGAAATGAAGTATTGTTGCTCCATGCCATCACATTATGAAATGTTAAAGTTGTTAAAAAGTTATTTATTCATTCATTTTATGTGTATGAGTGTTTGAGAGACACTTAATCTAAATGTGCCACATGTATTCAGAGCTCACAGAGGTCAGAAAATACCTTGGAACCAGAGTTCGAGACAGTTCTTAGCCACCATGTGGTTTCTGGGAACCAAATGCTGGTTCTCTGTAAGAGAAATCAGTGCTCTTAACTCACAGGCCAACTCTCCAGCCTCAAGTAAAGCTTTCACCATTCATGAATAAATAAGTTATTCTAAATGCTGTATCTCAGAACATATTCTTTGGCTTCCCTTACCCATCAGTGTAGGTTATAAGACAGTAAGAAATGGGTTTTCCTCTGAAAATAATTTTAGACCCTTAGTTTATACATTATCAAGGAATATGATCTACCACTTTCAGAACTGACTTCAGCCCATATCACTATAACATAGTATGTAGCACGTGGTGTTCTTTTATAGCTCAACACTTTTAACTCATTGCAATACAGCTAAAATGTATTAACAAAGTTCTGAATTAAGGTTTTAGAAGTTAACAGGTGTTGGGACAGAGGGTATTACTTTTTTTAGACGTGTAACCACTGATAATTTACCATGCTAACATAAATAATCCCCGATCCACACTCAGGCAAGAAACTAACTATAAATGTTCTCTCTGTATCTCTCTCACTCTTACACTCACTGTAGCTCTCTCGCACACATACACAAAAGACTTGAAAATAGGAAGAGGATTTGTTGGGATAATGGCAGGCAATGAGAGAATGGAAAGGGGAGTGGAAATGACTTCATTTTATTATATAAATGCAGGAAACTGGAAAAAAATTAAAAAATAAAAAGCTGTATCTCTATTAACAGGCCTCTAGATAAAAGTGTTCTTTCCATAGTTTCTTGAAAATACAGTATTATTGAAATATATGTATTATTTATACACATTATATCTTGTGTCCTCAGAGAGAGATACAGAATACTGAATGTCTTTAGGATGATGGATTATAGATATTTGGATTCTGAGTCTCCACAGAATCCAGAGAGAAAGTTTTGTTGTTGAGGTTAAGCAGATATGCCCAGAAATATTGTCTCTCTTCTAGAATTATAATTAATTGAAGAACTGTGTTGGTAACAATGAAGATAATGATTTGAGGGCAGTTGTTTCACCTAAGCTATACCACAATAATTGAGTGCTCACTGCTCATTCTTCCTAGGTGCCTTACAACTTTGAGTATAAGTCAACATTAGTTTTATTTATTCTCTCTCTCTCTCTCTCTTTCTCTCTCGCTCACCCTCTCCTTGTTTTCTTTTTTATTTTCCGTCTTTCCTGCCTGCCTGTCTCCATTCCCTCCTCCTTCGTCCCTCCCTTTCTCTCTATGCTCCGCCCACTCTTTCTTCCTTGCACATTACCTCTCTCCTTCTTTTACTCATTTCCTCTTTCCTTACACTCTTCTTTATTCCTTTTTCCTGCTCTTCTTTGATATTTTTGTTCTCTTTCTTCCTTCCTCTCTTCCTTTCCAGATGACACGAGAACAGTATATACTAGCAACCCAACAGAACAACCTGCCCAGAACTGAAAATGTACAACTTTACCCTGTGGGAATTTATGGATGGCGAAAGAGGTGCTTATACTTCTTTGTCCTTCTGCTGTTGGTTACCATGATAGTTAACTTAGCCATGACAATATGGATATTGAAGGTTATGAATTTCACTGTGGTAAGTACCACCATGATTTCCATCTATTGCTTTGGGTTCAAATAAAATCCAACATTATTATCATTACTATTTTAATAGAAAATTGTATCTCAATCTCTCTAAGTATATGCCTTTAAATTTCTTAAATTTTCACATTTAATTTTAAAAGTTATTTAGTATGCTTACTTGTGATGTATGTAATGATATTGCCACCTATCATTTGAATAGAAAATTTAGATCACAGGATAGAACAGTACCTTGATCCATTAGGAACTTAGAATGTATGTATGCAGTAAAAATGAATCAATGCATGTTATACCTGGGAATCTAAGGAAATAATTAGTTTTAGAGTTTAATATCATAAAACGTAAATGCTTGAATTATTGTTTACAGAATACATAATTGAATATTTCTCTACATTTGCTTTATAAACTCTGGACTTTCTCCTGAGATGTGACATCAGGGATTGTTCCATTCCTTAAGAACTTACCCTAGTTCAATAGAAGATTAAAAAAGTAATGAACCCCAAATGAAATTATATTAATGGAAATGAATAACTGAATTGCAAAATGATTCTGTAATTTATTCATGAATTTACATTCTTCTTATTGAATGTGCATGACAAACTTGAATTTGACTTGTATAGGAAAAATTATTTGCTTTAGCAAAGTCTAACTTTGCTAAGGTTATATTCTCAAACTAAATGCTTCAAAATTTCAAGTCTACTTTTTTGCTATTTTATTGTGCCTTTGGTCAGATAACTCAGACAACTTTGCAGTCGGGCAGGTTTATCTCACTTACTAGTTAAATTCTTCTAACTCTTGTCAAGCTCTGCATCCTCAAAGGTGAATTGAAAACTGTCTATTTAATTTAATTTAATTTAACTTAATTTAAATTTTTACGCTGGGATTTTGGTTTATTTGCTTTTAAATGCTACTGGGAATTGATTTACTAAGGATGTTTTCATTTCTGGATCTGATAGTACCAAATTCTAACCTGGAAAAGAATTTTACAAAGGGAAATGAGCTGAGCATCTTGTCTCAAGGTAGGAGGGCGCTACACGTTTTAAGTGTGTTACAAGTCTCAGAATGTAGGTGGCCTGACCCTCAAGACACAAAAACTGCACAAATCACAATAAAAAACATGTTCAAAGGGAAAAATGAAATGAACAAGATATCTACGCTTCTTAATACATAACCAACATTGAAATGTATTCATAAGAAATGCAGAAATACATGGGCAAGCAAAGTCAATATATTCTCATTCATTTTTAGGAAAAAATGTGTTTTAGAAATGGCTGTGCCTAGAGCCATCGATCCGTATAGGTGAATCTGTAAGGTGTGATGAGGGGATAAATTTGCTTATGAGATTCTCTGCTAATGAATCTGAAGTATGCCATTGTCCACAGGCTGCCTCAGCTCCCCATGTCAGTCAGTGCATTTGAGGTTTTGTGTAGTGCTTGTATTCTGGGCTCTGGTTGCCTTCCCTCATAGCTGCACTATTGACTTGTTTATTGTATTGGATGGAGACGTGTTCAGGCCACTGAGGTGTCTCACGCTGCTCTAACTACCTCCCTAGCTGGTGCCAGCTAACAGCACCTTTTCAACCTCATTTTCTCACAAAACAGAAACAAAACAAAAACATAAAAAGCACAACTGCATAAAAGGAATCAATAATACTCAGTAAATATTGAAATTTTGTCAATTTGTTTTCTTTTATCAAATGACATCTATCAAAAGTTCATAGAAGATGGGAATAGCTCTGTTACTCTAGAAAGCCTTGTTTCTGCCCAAGGGATCAGACTATAAGAATGCTTAGATTCAAGTTGGATAAGCTTCCTAAACATATTTAAATGAATTTGGAAAGCATATTAGCCACATAATTATGTGACTGCATGTCTCTCACTCTGAGGTCCTAACCCCACGCTGGGGCCAAGACCTGTAAGTCATTCCTGGGAGGTAACTGAAAGTATCACCTGTATCTTTAGGACTCTTGTAAGCCTGTGGCTCTCTGTCACTCATGGAGTTGTGTAATTTGAACTCAGCTGGCACAAATTTAAATGCCAGCGTAGAACCAGATAGTCTCTGTGATAACAAAATTGATTGTGTTCATTTATTTTCATGTTTTTACTTTAATTGTTCATTTGTTGAATTTTCCTTCACCCACTATTTAAAACCATGATTTTACTGATGATCAAAAGTAAGTCTGTCCTTTCTTTAACTACTTGGATAGTTGCATGTATTCTTAGTTAATGATTGATGAAGCTGATATAATTGTATCAGGATAATCTTTACAAGTATCACTCTACCGTAATACAATTATTCATAATTATCAGACAAATTCAGAAAAAATTAAGTCATTGAAGATTATTTTAGTCTTGAATAGAGTAGATTAAGTTATACACACTTGAAAACTGTGAAATAAGCTATAATCCTCTTACATCAGAGCAGTAAGAAAAAATAATTTTATGTTTTCACTAGTAAAATATATTTGTAACTGTCTCCATAGAGAGTATCAGAGAAATTGCCATACTTTGGCAGGAGGCAGAAAATGACTGTAAATTATTTGAGTCGCATTATTGATCTACACAAAATGTATTTCGCTTTCATTGTATCGGTTGGTTTCCAATACAGGAATATATGTGGCTGTTAACATCTTTTATTTGAGTAAATTTGGCATGTTGTTGTTACCAACATGCTATATTTTCAGCAGAGCAGAGCGAGCTGCCAGCATTTTCTATGATGTTGCTTGAAATCATCACTGTGACCAGCATTCCCCATGTTCCCACGTGATTGATACGACATTATTACCTTCTGGTTTTCATTTTGTGTCAAATAAAATCACTCTACTTAGTGAGATACTCAGTAAAGGAGAACCCAGAGTAAAGAAATGAGCTTATACTGCAACAGAGAAGACTCAGGATTGATAAAACCAATACTTTCCTGGATTTGAAAGTTGATAAGTATAGAGCTGAGTTGAGAGATTATTTGAAACCCATTATCCTGTGGTCTGTAGAACCCATATATAAGATGATTTGCTGTTGGTGGATTAATTGGTATAATTAATATTTTTGTGACTCAATATAAGTGAATGAGCCTATAGATCTACCAAATCTGGTATTTTGGCTGAGGCAACATTCTTTTCTGGCTTCAGACCTCTAATCTAATCAATGAAACTTTGTATTTAACTGAAAACTGACATAAAATAAAGCATACCTCTTAATGATAAAGGTGTTAAAGCAAAGTTGCTGAAATCCATCTATACAGCATAATTTTATTGGATATATAAACTGGCCAGTGAAGTGATCTGATGGGAGTTAGTTGGAGTATGGAATGGGGACTAGATATGATTATGTTTAATTGTACAAGTGCATTAAAATAATTTAAAAGATTAAAATATTTTAAAAAGAAAGAATGGGTACATGAATGTTGTCTATAAGCAAAGGGGAAAATAAAGTCTAAGCACTGTGACTGAGAAGCCAGAATACCCCGTATAATGGCTAAAATAACCAGTTAATTAAGGACATTGCAAAACACATTCCCACAGACTGAAAGGAAATCCCAAGAAAGTCAGATTTCAGTATCATAGTTATTAAGATTTTAAGCCCAGAATATTTTTGGTTTGGCCAACCATTGCCAGTGGGCATTTCCTAATCATCACCTTCATTGAGTCATGGAGTATCTATTCAAACCCTTCTGCTGGTGATGAAGATGCCATGTTAAGTCATGTATTAAGTAGTCCTTAAGCTATAGTATCTTCATATTGATTATAGTCTCCCAATAGATAATTTCAGACATAGAATTCTAGTTGCATTATTTTAATCATATGAATTCAATAACTCATTAACATTGTTATGTACCTATGCCCAAAAAGCCTCTGCCATGTATTATTTTAATTTCTCAAAATAAGAAGAGGTTGTGGAAAACTTTAGGTCAAAAAGCTGTCTTTGGTCACATGCTTTTCTTCATTTGAAGTATTTAACAAATTGCATAATTACAAGATTATCAATATTTTTAATTTATATTTCACTTAATAGCTATAATCCATAGAATCATTTTTTCTTTTGTCATATTTTTCTTTATTGTATACTTCTGAAATTTAGAGAATATACATTTCCATATTTATTTATTAAAATATACTTTGCTTTAAAACTTGTGCTGTTTAACAGCATTGTTGAATGAAACATCAGCTATTCTCATACCATTTTATTTTAAGACAAATTATTTCTTTACCTTTATCTTTAATCCAGTGACAGTGTCATCACCCTTATCAATCTACTTAGGGGGAATAAAGTACATTTACAATATACTAGCAATTCTGATTAGCAAATCACTAGCAATTCTGACCTTCCAACCTATTGCTCCCACAGTTTTCTTCAATTCAGTCTCTAAATTACACCAAATTTTTAAAACAATCTTTGCAATTTCATTGTCATTTATTTTTTAATCTATCATCTATAGATTTCAACAGACGCATGGAAGCTTGAGTTTGGAATAACCACAAGTTTCACGGTTTTCATTATTTTTTCCTTAGGATCTGTATTCCACTTAATTTCCTTTTACTGTTGTGTCACCTACCTCTGCAGATGAGATATAGCCTCAATGGAACCCAGAGGGCTGACTCTTTGCATACCTGTATCTCAGAGCCAGAGAGCAGTGTCTTTCAGATAAACATCCCTTCATTACTATTTCTTTAACAAATACAATCCTTGAATTTACATGTAGTGAAAGTCAGAAAATTTTTATTTCACTGTGATATGTGCTCTTCTAAGGGTCACATTTAGCTAGAAAGTACTGATTCAAAGACAACCAGTAATCGAACACATTTGATGTTGTTTAATACCTTATACCACAAGAGAATTATCTATGGTCTGCCTGGAGGAAGTTATTAATTCGAGTATTCAAAAAAGTCCTTGTTTTTGAAAAACTAGAGTTTCTCTTTTTAAGATCTCATACATCTTAGTGTGGTACAGCCACACTTTCTGTGATGCAGAAAGTTATTACTGATAATACTTTGAATTA